AGAGAGAGAGAGAGAGAGAGAGAGAGAGAGAGAGAGAGAGAGAGAGTGTGTGTGTGTGTGTGTGTGTGTGTGTGTGTGTGTAAAAATTAGCTTGCAAATATTTTTTCCCATTCTTTAGGCCAAGGGTCCTTAACCCCTGGGCCATGGACCAGTACTGGTCTATAGCCTGTTAGGAACCAGGCTGCATAGCAAGAGGTGGGCAGTGGGTGAGCAAGGAAGAAGCTTCATCTGTATTTACAGCTGCTCTCCATCGCTTGCATTATCGCCTTAGCTCTGCTACTGTCAGATCAGTGGTAGCATTAGATTCTCATAGGAGTGCAAGCCCTATTGTCAGCTGTGCATGTGAGGGGTCCAGGTTGTTGGTTCCTTGTGTGAATCCAATGCCTGATGATCTGAGGTAGAGGCAGGCAGCAATGCTAGCACTGAGGACTAGCTGCAAATATAGATTAACATTAGCATAGAGGTTTGACTGCACAGAGACCATAATAAATCAATTGCTTGCAGACTCATATCAAAACCGTATCAGTGAGTGGCAAGTGACAATTAAGCTGCATCTCACTATCATTTAAAATCAAACAGATGGGAGTGATAAACCCAAAATTCAAAAGAACAATTACTTGAAAGTAGAGATGGAAGTCTGGGGTGAAGAGAAAGCATATAGATAGATGAAACTGTATTTTTAATGTTCTAGTTCTATAGTCTAAATATTAGGTTTATGGCATTTATTAATGTTTAATGGCAAATGTGTAAGATATTTTATGTATCAAATATTATAAAATATAAAATAATTGTAATTTTTAAGATAGGATTTTGATGGTTTTCAGTGACAATTTAATTTTAACTATTTCAGTTTTTTACTTTTTATAAAATTTTACTTTTTGCTACATTCCACAAAGATTTCAACAACCACTTTTATTCTTTCAAATGGGAAAAAAAGAATGCTTTATTGAAGCGTAATGGTAATGTGTTCAGTCCCTTTACCCAGGTATAAGAACATGGATGTCAATTTCTGTGTCAGATCCATTTGACATCTTTAAGAGATTGTTTTCCCATTGTTTTCCAGCCCAGGTGGTCATGGCAACCCTAACGACAGCAGCACCCTGCACCTAAAAGCTCAAATCCTAACAACGCAATATTGTTGTAAGGTAACACTTTCCTCCAAGAAAGCAATGACAGGTAGCATGGGTGAGCTAAGCAGCAACACTGCTATTCTCCTCAATGCAGTGGCATCTACTTGGTACCTACTGTGTGCCAGCATTGTGATGGGCACTGAGGATGTAGTGATTACTAAAACAAAAACACACAGCCACTGAGTGCAGGGAATTACCTTCTTTCTTTCTCTAAGTTTGACTTGTTAAAATTTCCAGCTTTTAAGTTCAGGGCTACATGTACAGGATGCCCATGTTTGTTACATAGGTAAACGTGTGTCATGGGGGTTTGCTGCACAGATCATCACATCACCTAGGTATTAAGCCCAGTATCCATTAGCTATTCTTCCTGATGCTCTCCCTCCTCCCATTTCCCACTCTCCAATGGGCCCCAGAGTGTGTAGTTCCCATGTGTCCATGTGTTCTCAACACACAACTTCAATTTATAAGTGAGAACATGTGGTATTTGATTTTCTGTTCCTGCATTAGTTTGCTGAGGATAATGGCTTCCAGCTCCATTCACATACCTGCAAAGGACATGATCTCGTTTCTTTTTATGGTTGCATAGTATTCCATAGTATATATGTAACACATTTTATTTATCCAGTCTATCACTGATGGTCATTTAGGGTGATTCTATGTCTTTGTTATTGTGAATAGTGCTGCAATGAACATACATGTACATGTATTTTTATAATAGAACTTTTTCTATTCCTTTGGGAATAGAAAATGGTATTTCTGCCTCTAGGTCTTTGAGGAATCACCACACTGTCTTCCACAATGGTTGAACTAATTTGCACATCCACCAACAGTGTAAAAGTGTTCCTCTTTCTCCATAACCTCGCCAGCATCTGTTGCTTTTTTGCTTTTTAATAGTAGCTATTCTGACTGATGTGAGATGCCAGCTCATTGTGGTTTTGATTTGCATTTATCTAATGACCAGTGATGTTGAGGTTTTTTTCACTTTTCTTGGCCATATGTATGTCTTCTCTTGAGAAGTATCTGTTCATGTCCTTTGCCACTTTTTTTTTTTTTTGAGACAGAGTTTTACTCTTGTTGCCCAAGCCAGAGTGCAATGGTGAGATCTCAGATCACTGCAACCTCCGCCTCCCAGGTTCAAGCGATTCTACTGCCTCAGCCTTCTGAGTAGCTGGGATCACAGGCATCCACCATCCAGCTAATTTTTGTATTTTTAGTAGAGACAGGGTTTCACCATGTTAGCCAGGCTGGTCTCGAACTCCTGACCTCAGATGATCTGCCTACCTTGGCCTCCCAAAGTTCTGGGATTACAGGTGTGAGCCACCACACCTGGCCCCCTTTGCCCACTTTTTAACAGGATTATTTTTTCTTGTAAATTTGTTTAAGTTCCTTGTAGATGCTGGATATTAGACCTTTGTCAGATGGATAGATTACAAAAATTTGCCCCCATTCTGTGGATTATCTGTTCACTCTGATGATAGTTTATTTTGCTGTGCAGAAGCTTTGTTTAATTACATCCCGTTTGTCAATTTTTGCCTTTGTTACAATTACATTTGGCATCTTTGTCATGAAATCTTTGCCTATGCCTATGTTATGAATGGTATTGCCTAGATTTTCTTCTAGGGTTTTTATAGTTTTGGATTTTACTCTCAAGTTTTTAATCCATCTTGAATTGATTTTTGTGCATGGCATAAGGAAGGGGTCCAGTTTCAATTTTCTGCATATAGCTAGCCAGTTATCCCAGCACCATTTGTTAAATAGGGAATCCTTTCCTCGTTGCTTGTTTTTGTCAGAATTGTCAAAGATCAGGTGGTTATAGGTATGTTGTCTTATTTTGGGGTTCTCTATTCTCTTCCATGAGACTCCCCTTCTTTTTAAAATATATGGAGTGCTTCCCAAATTTGTGTGTCATCCTTGCACAGAAGCCATGGTAATCTTCTCTGTAGCCTTCCAATTTTATATATGTGCAAGAAAGGAAGTCAAGAACTCACAGTCTTCTGTGGACAAGCCAACAAGTAAACTGAAGTGCAACAATGTTAAAGAAACATGAGTAGCCCAGGTATGGGAAAAATTAACTCTGTGTAGTGGGGAGGAGGGCTGATGGTGAATTTAAAAAAGCTTCTAAAGGTAAAGGAAAAAAGACAATCCAGGGAAAGGAGACAACATAGGTGAAGACATGAGATCTGAAAATAGTATTACTAAATGGTATATTAAGTAGATGCATTTAATTTTTAAACAGCTCCTAAACTCCATTTAAATGACATTTATGTCAGCATGGAAACAACAAGGATGCCATTGGCACACCAGAAATTTTTAGAAATTCATTAATGTATTCACCAACCCTCAACAGCGGGCTTTGGGTTGCTAGAACTGGGTATGCACAGGTTATATTTCAGATTATTTAAAACGTGCTCTGCAAGACTTAACATCTAATTATATTTGACTCGAATCAATATTTAAAATTATTGTACATCTCTTGAGCTTTCTACAAATTAAAGTAAAGGGGAGAAATCTGGCTAAGAATTATTGGGGAATAAAACCAAGTTGGAAATTGTTTAAATAAAGGAATACAAAAACCCAGATCATTGGGACAGTCTCTGCAATCAAAGCATCAGCTCCCTCCATTAAAAGAGGTGGCTTTGCAAGATCTTTGCTGTGGCCTTCCTTGCCCAAGCCTCCTCCACTGACATAATCATTCTCAATTTCTATGAATCCTTTCAAAGAACTACAGAACTGTTCCTGTCAGATAGAGGCACATAGTATTATTACTGCAGCAACTCAGTCAGAAGAAGGCTTTCTAAATTACTCACTAGGCTGTGGGTGGGTTAAGAACTGATAGCCTGAGTTCCTAGACTTTCCTAACAGAAAATGGTCAACGGCAATTACTTGATTCCCCCTTTCAAATGGCTGATTCTCCTCTGGTTTCTTTTAGGTCTCTCCCATTTCCATTCTGGGTAGGAATCCCTGCTGGCAGAGATGGTAATTAGGTGTGATTTAAGTGTTGCATAATTTGTACGATGCTATAAAATGCCAGTACAAAATCAAGAGAGTTTGGTCAAGAGGAAAATTTATTTTGGAAAAGAAGAAGAAAGGGGGAGCAGGTGGCAGTAGGCCATCTGCTTCAGAAGGAATAATTATTAGGATTCTTGCTTTGCCGAGAACATTGTTTAGAAAAAGCATTTGCAAGTGATTCTGAAAAGTAGCATTAATTCTGAGAAGGGAGTGGAAAGAGACACAAAGGCCAAGCAGGCCAAGCTCTCCAGATGAATCCAGGACCAAATAAGTCAACCTAGCAAATGAGAACTTCCCAGAAAGATCCACTAAGAAGGGAATCCTGCAAGTAAAAAGTTGTCATCAATGTAGAAAGGATGATTTCAGCTCTGATATTGTCTTTTTATCCATTGATACTATCCAATGTCTTACATCTCTAGGAAGCAGAGCAGCATGAAAAGAACTGTGGACCACAATATTTTAAGGATGTGAAGGTTTTCTTCCTTTTCAAACTCTAATCCCTGACCATGTGGCCATTTCTTCATGGCTCTACCCCTGTCAAGACAAAGGGCTTGGATATATAACTCCTCGGGTGTAAATACACATGGAGAAAGAGACAAACTCTTACAGATGTCAAGGAAAGAAAAGGGAAGGGAGAAAGAGAGGGAGAGAGGACAGAAGAGTGATAGAAAGTGAAAAGAAATGCAAAGAAGAGTATACTGTTGGGTTCTAACTTTTAGAATTTATTGATTTGTGAACAAGTAACATGAATTTGGGTTGCTAAAGATGAGAGGTGGTTTCTATAAAATTACCAATTCAAAGGAATTTGTGCTGTGTAATTTTTAATAAATATTGCACACATAATTTCATGCTTTAGTTTTAACAGTTTCTGTAATGTGAACTAAATTAGGCCATTTATTGCAATATTTGCCAGCATCTTTTATAATCACTATAATTACCTTCATCTGTCTATTAAAGGACAATTACTATTTCATGTCATTATCCTTACACCGAAATAGCACAATACAAATTAGAAATTACATATAGACAAATTATAATTTCCTCCCAGGATTTAAGTTTCTCACGTGAAAACTTCAGTGATAGATTTCAAGTTTAGTCAAAAGAATTTAAACTTAACTCATAATTGGGTATAAAATAAATTTTAATGGATAACATTGAGTAGAGTAAAACCTCATGAATTTAGACTTCATTAATGTAGAATTTGGGGTTTTGTAAAAATATCTTTGTCATATTCATAAAAATGTAATTTTCTAATAATATTATTATTAATTATCTTATACCAAGAAGAAGCTTCTTAATGTTATCTCCAAGAGTCTTGAGTGTTTTGAAAGCAAGGACTTAAAATTTTCTTATGTGCTACTGTAAATCTACAGATTATACTGTTAAAAGAACTTTACTGCTTACTCTCTTTTGGGACTGGAAATAGGATATTAGATCTACTCTATCTATTACATCTGGAAAAATATGCTAGACTAAAGGCAATGTATTCTCCCCTTCTCCTACTTGAAAATACTCTTATGAAAAGATTACAGAGAAGGGTTAATTGAAAGAAAACATATAATCATATCCTATATGGTCCTTGTTCTTTGTATGTGTAGATCTCCCAAAAGAAAGACCACAGGGAAGAGGAGTGAGCGAGAAGGTTCAAGAACCAACTCTCCCTCCAAACCCAACAACCAAGTACCTAAACCCATATCAGCATAGAATACAAAAGATTCAGGTCATCTTCTCACAAGAAACTTAGCTCTGCTTCTGAAGGAGGGCCATCTATAAGATACCCCTACCTAAGGTTTTTTTATGAGACCCAGTCTCGCCCTGTTGCCCAGACTGGAGTGTAGTGGCACAATCTCAGCTCACTGTAACCGCCGCCTCCTGGGTTCAAGCAATTCTCCTGCCTCAGCCTCCCAAGTAGCTAGGACTACAGGCACGTGCCACAATGCCCGGCTAATTTTTGTATTTTTAGTAGAGATGGGGTTTCCCTGTGTTACCCAGGATGGTCTCAATCTCCTGACCTCGTGATCCACCACCTCAGACTCCCAAAGTGCTGGGATTACAGGCGTGAGCCACCGTGTCCACCCTAAGATCTTGACTCATTGTTTCCTTGAAGCTATTAAAGTAAATGTGGAGACAAATGCCTGTGTTCCCATTTGATTCATTTCTGGTCCTTTCTTCCAATAGAAATACTCAAGGGACCTGAGCTCAGGGGTCAGTTTTCCAGAAGGAAAAATACCTCATTATGCCTGCCCCAGGCAAGCCTACCTTGAGAAGGAAAGAGAGGTGAAACCCTGATGATAGTGAGACTACAATGAGTAGTTTAACAAGGTGATTCCTGAGGTCCTACCAAAAACGATGAATATTTTAGTTCTAGTTCAGTCTGTGCCTGATTTAATTGATATTTACACATGTAAGTAATAATATTTTACTAAATGGAAAGCACAAACAGAAGTGATGCTTGTAAACTCAGTACTGCCCTGTTATAAAAGAAAACACAACCAAACTCAGCTGACACCTGTCCACAGAGGGAGCATTTAAATCAGCCTTAGGCATAGGGGAACCACCAATCACAGTGGTCCAAACTTGAGTTCCTGCAAGCTTTGCCATTGAGGGCTCTGGTGCTCTGGGGCTCAAAATAAGCTTTAAAGGCCATCTAGGCCACAAGGACTGCAATCCCTAGGCAAGTCCTTCTACTGAATTGGACCCAGAGACAATGGACAGGTGAGGCACAGGGACTGGTAGAGACAAGGGTCTCTACCTGAGACACCAGCCAAGGTGGCTGAGTGCTGGCATTAACCCTTCCCTAACCCCAGGCTGTGCAGCTCACAGCTCCAAAAGAGACCCCATTCCTCCATTTGAGGAGAAGAGAGGGAAGACTGGGGAGGGCTTTGTCTTGCGCCTTGGATATCAGCTGAGCCATAGAAGGATAGGGTACCAGTCAGAGTCACGAGGCCCTGTTACCAGGGCATAGCTTTCAGATGACATTTTAGACACATTCTGGGACACAAGGGAACATGCTGCCTTGAAGGGAAGGACCTAGTCCTGGCAGGATTATCATCTACTAACTAAAGAGCCCATGGGCCCTGAATAATTAGCAGTGATACCCAGATACCATGTCCAGGCCCTTGGGGGAGACTCTGAAACTTGCTGGCTTCAAGTGAGACTCAGAATATTCCCAGCTGTAGTGGCTACAGGGTAGGATGTCCTCCACTTGAGAAAAGTAGAGGAAAAAGCAAAAGGGACTTTGTCTTTCACCTTAGGTACCAGCTCAGCCACTGGGGCACAGAATACCAAGTGGCCTCTTAGGGTCCCCAGTTCCAGAGCTTGGCTCTTGAACAGCATTTCTGGACTTTCCCTGGGCCAGAGGGGAGCCTGCTGTCCTGAACAGTGATTCCAAGGCCAGGCAACATTCACCACATGCTGACTGAAGAGCCCATGTAAGGAAACATCAGTGGTAGTTTGGCAGTACTTTTTATTAGCCTGTGTTGGCCATGGCCACAGGATGAGGCTCCTTTGCCTTTGGAAAAGATGGGAAGAGCGGGAAGGACTGCATCTTGTGGTTTGAGTGCATGCTCAGCTGCTATACAATAGAACACCAGGTAGACTTCCAAGGTTTTTGACTCTAGTCTCTGGCTCTCAGATGGTACCTCTGGACATGCATGGGGGCTGGGGGAACTTGCTACCCTGAAAGGAAGGACATAGGCCTGGCAGGCTCTGTCACCTGCTGATGGTAGGGCCCCAGGGTCTTGCGCAAACATAGGCTATAACCAGGGAGTGGTTACAGCAGACCTTTGGAGAGACTCAATTCTGTGCTGGTTTCAGGTCTGAATCAATACAGTCCTAGGGGTGGTGGCCCCAGGGGTGCTTTTGTCACATTATCCCCAGCTCTAGGTGGCTAAGAACAGAGGAAAATTACTCCATTCATTTGGGAGAATGTATGGGAAGAAAACAAAGGTCTCTACCTGGTAATCCAGAGAATTC